ATTTGTTGTCTCTGCCTATGCGCCAACAGATTGCAGCCCGGATGCAATGAAGGACGAGTTCTACCACCAACTTAACGATCTCTTGAGACAGGCGGGTCGGAGGGATATCGTAGTGCTGGCTGGGGACTTGAATGCACAGGTCGGGCGTCTGAGCTCAGAGGAGAATCGTCTAGGTGGTCAATGGGGACGACATGGTCGCAGGTCAGATAATGGGGACCGTCTTCTGCAGATTTGCGCGGATCACAACCTATTTCTGGCCAGCACCAACTTCCGGCACAACCATCGCCGTAGCGCTACCTGGCGTCCTCCCTCTGCGAACCAAGCTTGGACTCAGATCGATCACATTGCTGTCAGTTTCCGGTGGCGAGGATGCATAAAAGACTGTCGCTCCTTCTGCAGCACATGCCTGGACTCCGATTATGCGTTAGTGTGTGCCAAGTTCGTCTTGCGATTTGGTGGGGTTCATAAAAGGCGTCGTCTAAACGTTGATGTGAGCAAACTAGTAGCACCTGCTACTTCTCTGAAATACCAGAATGAGTTACAATCAATGCTTGCCAGCAACCCCCAAGTAGTATAGATGAACATTGGCTGCATCTGCAAGGTGCCATGCAAAGAGCTAGTGTTGCCGCTTGAAAGAATGCTCCGCCAAAAACCACTGGGTTTCTGCGAGTTCCTTGCAACTCCTGGATGAACGCCGGTCCATTCCGGCTGGCAGCGAATACAGAAATAAGCGAAAGGCGCTGACGCGCAAGATAAGACAGTGTTTACGGAAGGACCGCGAGGCCTGGTGGTCAGAACGTGCGGGTGAGATGGAGTCAGCTGCTGCATCTGGCAACAGTCGGAAGCTGTTCCAACTCATCCGAGCCACCGGCAGCAAGAAACAAGGTGTCGGCGAGACGGTCTGTGAGGCAGATAGCACGCCAATTACCAGCTTGGAAAGACGCCTGGAACGCTGGGCAGAGCACTTTGGGAAACAGTTTAGTTGGCCACCAGCTTCAATGTATGCTGTCATTAGCCCCAGTGCTCCTTGGTCGGTTAATACCGACCCACCCACCGAAGCGGAGGTCCATAAGGAACTCCAAGTGTTAAAACGCCATAAGGCACCCGGCCCAATTAATTTACCCCCGGCTCTTTTTAAAGATGGTGGCGAGACTCTTACAATGGCTCTAACTGGGTTGTTCAGGAAGGTATGGGAGAGTGAGAGTGTACCATCAATGTGGAACGAAGCCATCATCGTCCCTATCTTTAAAAAGGGTCGACGTAATTCGTGTGACAATCATAGGGGTATCAGTCTGCTACCAGTCGCGTCTAAATTATTGGCTTCTGTCTTGCTTCGCAGGCTGTGCAAAATACGTGAAGGATTGATTTGCGAAGAGCAGGCTGGGTTTCGTTCAGGTCGTGGATGCATTGATCATGTGTTCACCCTTCGTCAGTTGTTGGAACACCGCCAGACGTATTGCAGGCCAACGATAGTTGTGTTTCTTGATATTAGGGCTGCCTTCGATTCGTTGGACAGAACTGTGTTCTGGAACTGTCTGTTAGAGAGAGGTGTACCTGAGAAATTTGTTAACATCTTGAAAGCCCTATACAGAAACACCTCAGGTAGAGTGAGGGCATACAACCAACTATCATCACTGTTCCCAACCAACAGTGTGGTTAGGCAGGGTTGCCCAATCTCTCCATTTCTCTTTAACTTTACTATCGATGACATTCTGGAGTCAGCTCTGAAGGATGTGCGTGAAGGTGGTGTAGATCTGCTACCTGGAGATAGACTTTTCGACCTCGAGTATGCAGACGATATCGTCTTACTGTGCGATAGCATGCAGGCTGCCCAAATCACACTTAATCAGTTGGCGATCAGTGTCTGTAAGTATGGTATGTACTTTTCGCCGTCTAAGTGCAAAGTACTGTTACAAGATTGGCAGGAGCCTGTACCTGCGTCCACTCTTGCGGGTGAACCGCTTGAAGTTGTTGATAAGTTTGTGTACCTGGGTAGTTGTGTGAGTGCTGGCGGAGGGGTAACGGATGAGATTTCCAACCGTATAATGAAGGCTAGGGTGGCATACATCAACTTGTGCCACCTCTGGCGCCGTCGCTACGTTAGCCTGGCTGTCAAAGGTCGGGTATACAATGCTTCGGTGCGGGATGTCTTGCTCTACGCCTGTGAAACCTGGCCTCTCCGAGCTGAGGATGTGCGGCGACTCTGTGTGTTCGATCATCGCTGTCTCCGCAGGATTGCTTGCGTTCGATGGCATCATCGCGTGAGTAATTCTGAGGTTCGGCGGCGTGTGTTTGAACACAGTGGAGATCACCATCCATTGAGTGTCGTCATCTGGAAACAACAGCTCCGGTGGCTTGGACATGTGCTGCGAATGTCATCCCAGAGGCTTCCGTACAGGTCTCTGTTCGCTAGCCCTGGGACGGGATGGAAAAGGCGGAGGGGTGGTCAGTCCATGACATGGCGTCACGGGACGAAGGATATTTGTACTAGATTAGCATCGGTTGGTGCGTCATGACTCCCTGGTTGGGGTCCGCGAGATAGCTCGAATCGATGGCTCGAAACGCTATCGGATATGGCCAAGAATCGTAATCAATGGCGAACGTGTTGCAATTTCCTTCTTTCTTCCCTTCCTGATGAAGTTCTTTATCCGTTTTCTACCTATATTTTTCCTTTTAATCTATGTTGTTTTATCATTACTGTGTGGCGCATCTTTCTTGGTGCCATATTGTACCAACCAAACGAACCCCCCCCCCCCAAACAATCAATTGAAAATCATGTCTGAATCGGATTCAAAAGTGGTAACCAATATTCACCCCTAAATGAATACAGCACTATAGGTAGAAGTTAACGAAACACTATTTCTCTCTTTAGTGGGCACTAGTATGAATTCAAAACAACCATGCAAATTCATGTCTAATGCCACACAATTATGTCAGGCTAAAAGATGACAGGAACTATGTTCCTAAATGACAGATTTTTCTAGTCTTCCCGAATAAACAACGATCAATGGACGACAGATTTCATTCATGAAAATTTTACATCGCACAAATGTATCTGCGTATCTTTTTTGTTCTCTAAATTTCGATTGTGCATGATTAATTCCCCGTGACCTTCTATACAACCAGTATTCCATCGAAACCGGAAGGCCACTTATGGTGTAGTGCTCCACATTATGATAAATGAGTCATAAACACTAACGCATTAATTTCTATTATTTTTCCGGCCTCTAGTTTTGTACCAAATTTTGGGTATTTGTTAGTACCTAGTCGAAATTGCAAAGAAGAAAAACTACCAAGATGCTATGTAGCATTTTGTGTAACCAACTTAAATGAACCTATGACTTGTACTGTATCTGCATAATTAAATAGAAACCATTTGAATTCCCCTTAGTAGGATGCAATTTCCGATTCACAAACATCACTGAGCTGAATTCTTTTTTAACAAGACTGACTGGTTTCAACATTGAACTCTGCACAGGTGTGTAGCATTCCGAATTGCCACACTCCATGTACCACACAAAGCAAGAGAAGAGATTCAAAATAGAGAGAGATAATAAATAGAAGTGCGAGGGGAAAAGAATAGTAATATGGAAGAACAGTAGAGTTTTGTAAGATATGATAAATCATAAAGAATGAATGCATTTGCGTCAGCCATTGAGAACAATTTCGAGCCAGATAACCAATTGTCTACAGCCAATAGTTTTTACCATCCCGAGGACCCCAACCAGGAGGACTACACCTGATGTGGTTTAAACTCGCTGTCATAGATTTCTTTGACTGATGCCATGTTTTGGTTTGACCACTACTAGCTCTTTTCCAACCTGATCTTATGCTCATCGAGGAAGATGATATTTTTAAAAAGAATAAAATATACATATTGATTGTAATGAAAAACAGTAGCCCTGAGTTACCTAAATTTCCATCAACCATAATACATCTACGTTTCCCCCTTTCTCATTGTTTTAAAATCTCAATAACGTCTTTGAATCGCAACATTAACTCACGCAAATTTTTAATTGACTTCCAACTTACTGCTCTGAACTTCAAGGAGAAAATAAGGGAGAACTGTCGAAGAGGACGGAGTCATGTTTCACACAGAACGGTGCATCGTACAAAATACTGATAACGAATACTTCATTTGAAGACTTTGTACAAAGAGTGAATAATTTGAAAGCAATTACACTGAAAATTCTGTATCGCATGTTACCATAATTTTCAGAATAGAGCTATTTTTATTAAACCTACACTTCTTATCAGATGTTTTATAAGACTGACAATTAAAATATAAACGCATTATGAAATCGTTAAGTGTAGTGGTGTGATACAGACAATGTGTTCCAACGGAGTATTATTCTCACATATTCCCACAGTCCAATACTGCATCAGCAACAGAATGCTATATATATTTGAACGTCCTATTTTATGTTATTTAATGTAAACCAAAATCACATGCTCAGTGATTGGTTAAAGAATCTAAATTGTATAGATATAAATAGCGGTTTGATCACTTGGAAATATACCTTGACTTCCGTGTCTTGTCTGATAGTGAACATCCTCTTTATTCACATTTGTTTCCTTGTATCTCTTCGCGTAAGACCAGAAGAAATTTCATAAACATTTATGCTCGTACTACAAAATATAAAAATTCGACCGTACCATATTTGGCACGAGTATTGTGTGAAGAGACGAATATCAGAAAAGAACTTTTACAACTTTTAAATCATTAACTAAACCATAAAATGTAATGATGCATATTATTGCATGTGTGATTTGCTATATTATTTATTTATTATTCACTATGACTTAGAAATGGTGTGATTTTGTTGGGGTTTTTATTTTTCCTATTAATTATGAATATTCTTAACATTTCATACATTTATGTAATTATAAAAAGAGCTAAACCAATGCAATATGTAAAATGAAACGCTGAAAATTCCATGCTGTAAATTGTTATTGTTGTGGAATAAAGTGATTATTATTATATTATTATTATTACATAAGTACTACATATTTTCGTTTTTTGCTAAGGATTTAGGAATTCTAAATATTCACTGAACCGACAGATCTAACCCTTACAAACCAAACTATAGAAGATCTAAACATACCACAGCATACTTAAATCAAGGCAATTACACTAAAATATAGTTTGGTATTATATCTAACTAGCTGCTCATATATTACACCTTTTGAGGTGAAATTTCACCATGATTATCTTTGAACGGTAGCTTATTGACTTAAATGCTCAACTTTCAGTCAGTGGGTCTCAGGTTCGAATCCTGCTCCACCTACTTTATAGCCTGGGCAACTGGGTACTATCACATCAGTCTTCGCATGATAACTGTGCTGTCCCGTGTGACTCAGTTCAAACGAACATTTTTTCTTCAGAGAACCAAAATGATCAGATCACAATACGTGACCTGAATGACCTCGTAAAGAGCGTCAAGAAAACAAGCAAAGACGTAACTAACACATACTAGTGATAAGTATGGGTGGTTGAAAGCTAATGTTATTACTTTTCTGTCAACAATAACAATGAATGTGTATAAAATGTATTCTAAAAAGTCATGAAATTAGTGGAATAATGTTTTTTAAAAAAAGGGGGGGAAAAATGATGGTAAAATAAAAAGCATCAAATGACAGTCGTTATACGATGACAAGAATTAGTGTCAATTGTCAATAGTAACGAAATTGTATTCAAAGTATGGAATAGGAACGACATCATGTTAAAGTGAAATGTGAAGTACTACACACGTTTTAAACTATATCTTCTATAAGCTTTGAAAAGGGGAATACTTCGCTTGGAACTTTGGAGGCAACCTGAGAAATAGGTTGAGCAGGAAACAATCGCATCATTGGACTATAATAGTTCTTTTGTTGAATGGAATCTGGACTAACAGCTTTAGCAAAGCCAACACGATTTTTGCCCATATCGAATATCGTGTAATACTTACCAATAAAAACATCCCCTAATATCCACAACTTTCGCTTTGGCAAGTCCAAACCCATAAAACCACTCAAGCAAATCTCTGTACCAAATTGGGATACCTGTGTTAAAATGAAGAAAAAAATAGCTGTAAAGCAATTTATATATGAAGTTAGAAATAAACTTTAGTCACATCAAAATACTGATAGCAGTAACAAAGTCATCATCTATCACTGTACTGTCCTACTGAGTTAAATCAACTTGTATCAAAACGTTATGAACAACTGTTATAGTTTCTTCCAAATTCAATAAGCATTTTTCAAAAAGAATGGAAACTTTTCAAAAATGTATAGTGGTCTATTATTAATTAATAGGGGGTGACATAATTGATATAATTACTCGGAAGTGGCTTTAGAAGTAAAAATTAAAAGTTGTAAATTACGTGGTACTCAACGGCACAAAGATAGAAATTTGTTAAGGTTAAAATTGCTATTGAGAATAAAGGTAGTTGAATGTCAATTTAACAAGTGTGAAGATAATTACTAGCTTAATTCTCGATCACTTGGTGAACTCAGGCCACGTAGCTCACCTAGAGTCGTCTTTCAAGATCATCTGCAAAGTGAGGCCAAATGGTACAAAGGGTGTCAGGTTTCGGCTTCTGTGCATGGCGGAGTCGCTGGCAATTCGTCAATACAACCCCGAACTCTGTATACAGAAAAAGTGTGTCCAGTCTCTTATTCTACCTTGGTCTTAACCTCTTCACCAGTCGTTCCCTGTAAAAAAATTCTGATTTTTCCTTTTCTTTTCTAATTTTACTTAAAGTTCGTTTTTGCTTTAATAATTAATTCACTATTATCACTCTCATATGCTCCTTTGCTACATTTTCACACCCTCTTCACCCTTGTTAAACTGACACTTAACTACCTTTATTCTCACTCAATAGCAATGTTAACCTTAACAAATTTCTATCTTTGTGCCGTTGAGTACCACATAATTTACAACTTTTAATTTTTACTTCTAAAGCCACTTCCGAGTAATGGGAACTTTTATTTGATACGACCACGGATAATCAAATAATTGGTCCATCTGTGCTTGATTTGGATTGATATAACGAGACTTTAATGAGTATTTAGTGTGATGAAACAGGAGCGGACAAATATCTTTTATTTTTATGACAATATTGGGAGTGTAAAGTAAGACTATAAACTGATTAGTAGCTGAACTCACAGACTGACTTCCTGTATAACCTGCAAATCATAGAAACAAACTAACTTTGAACCACACAAAAATGCAACGACCCAAAGTTGTTATACTTTAAAATGGTATCAACACGAAGGTTGATGTTGAGAGAATGCAGGTGAAAACTTTCATCAACGCATTACAAACTTCAACAAGATAGCCTACGCCTTCATCCACTACTCGTAAAATCTGCCAATAATTATGTTTATTGTCTAATCCCTCTGTTCTTTGGTTCAGCCGAATCCTACTACCAAACGATGATCCAAAAGCAAAATATGTCAGGTACTTCAATCTCTATGTGTTTAGTAAGAGCGTAAATTATCTCCCCCATCTAACACTGTGCCAGACCTTCACTACTGACCTGATGGTTTGATGATAATTAAGTGTCATAAAGACACTTGAAAAGCTGTAACATTTTAGCGTCTGCTGTAAAGTTTTAAATTTTGAAAACTCAGTATGCGGGAGTTGGACAACATAAACAGGATATGGGTAAACATTAAAACGGTGTCTGGTAACCATTGCTGAAATATTCACTTTTTGTCAACTGATAGTTTAACATAAACGACTACCTCATTCCCTATTTTAGATATAGACAGAACACAGATCAGTGCGTAGAAGCAGGACAAAAACTCACACCTTAGCTCAAAAACACTAAATTTTGTCAACAATTACGAATAACAGGAACAGTATGGGTTGAACATTCCAGGAAATCACCCCCATGAGAAATCGGAGTTAAGCGACATCAAAAAGCCACAATAACATTATATATCCCTAAAAGACATCAATGTTACCCATTATCTCAATAGTCTACCGTATACCCAAGCAAAGAAGCTCGAGTTAAACTGGCTAAGAAGCGGGTGTTTGGAGCACCTTATCCAATCAGCTATTGCCAAAGCACATATAGCATAACTTTATATTAAGAGCACACAACTTCAGTTGAAAATGTAAAATTTGACTGCAACGCAGTGAATTAATATATAGAAGTGATAATGGGTTAGTTTCTTCAGGCTATCGCAAAAAGCTAAATCTGGCGTATAATAATTAAAAATGAAATATTACCTTCATTATATAATCTGTAGGATCTAATGTCATATTTCTTCCATTTATTAAAAAATCAATCTTCGGGAGGTTATTGATCCGATCACATGGAATACTATAAATGCCACCAGGCAAGTAAGTGCCGCCAATTTTCTTATTGATTTCTGTTATCTCTTCAGTTGGACCAGCGATCATTGAAGTACCAGTGTCTGCAATGGCCAGACAACCATCCAGACATACTGCTGTGTCTGATAATATCAGCCTATATTTTAAAAAGTTTTTTTTGAATTTTCAGTTATACTTCAAATGAAATATTCAAGCAAAAGCTATGGAACACTTTTTTTTAATTTGGAAGCGATCTTAGGGAAATTGGTAATGATAATCAAATGTCCCCTAAACATTTATTTATTACTAAAATAAACTTGGTACGCTATGGACACTAAGAGATGCCCCATACAAAATCAAAGAGTTTGTACAAAGGCTGGGGTACTATCCAGACCTCCAAGCCGAAGCAAGTTTTCTAGACATTGTTAGGTGACAGTAATTAGAGTGAAGTTACTATGATTATAAAAAACATTCGTCTTATTTCCCATCTGATTGTAATTGATCAATAACACTAATATTGTTATTTCAGAATGTACATTATCCTATATTGATTTTTATTCAAATATCTAGTCAATTCCACATATGCATATATAAATGAAGGAAAAAAGTTGTGTGAGTAACTTGATATGATTATGAGCAATAGTTTGTACTCGAAACATCGTCAGTTAATATTACTGTATAACTGTGTGATTTATGGAAATACAATCTTATCCATAATGGAGTTATACTCTACCATAGTGCCCAAGTTTCATACTTGAGACGATACATCAGAACTTAGACTTTTAACCAACTTACCTGAAATAGGATGTTTTAGTTGGTAAGTCGCAACACCAAGTTACTACTAAGTTCAATGAAAACGCTTATAGTGTCAATTAAAACTACTTATTAAAAAACCAAGTCAATAATACTATACCACTTCTGCATTACTTATTCTCACTGGCCAGAACAGCTCAGCACTGCTCGAGAGTTCTGATATCCTGCTAAAAAATGTTAATAAGCGTTAACTTCAGGCTTGCCTCCTCATATGGATCCAAAGTGTACCATCTACTATTTTGATTTCTCATTCACAAACTTGATCAACAGAATTTAGCCCGCACTAAAACGTAGACATTGTAAGACCTGTTAATGACTAATAACATTTACCCGCTGAACACTGGAAAAGAGAAATAAGCTGAACAACAACCAGCTAAATAGCTACTATTGAGTTTTAACTCGACAAAATAAATTCTCCTGAAAACTGGTAGCTTACTTGTCCATTTGAAATAGCCAATAAGATTTCTCCTTTAAATCTACGTAGTTGATTTCACCAGTATAATACTTCTTGTCTATACCACCAATCATTAATTCACCACCAAGCGAAGCTGATGCATTTCTATACACACATACATACAAAAAAGTAGTTATACAGATTGTATAAAAGCATAATACGCCTTACACGACTACAATCATAATTTAGTTCCCCTAGTTAGGTATCATTAAAATTAATGAAGTGATAAATTTAACACAATTAATAGAAGTGGTGGAATGAAAGTGTTTCAACATAAAATGACCGATAGTCTCTCAATAAGTTACAACTACTTTATAAAGATGCATAAGAAACCAAAACCATGATGATTAAGCACCATAACAAAGGGTGTTTTCCATTATTTACCACTAATAAAAACAGCATCCATACAACTGTCTATAATTTACACAAGGCTCACACCGACAGTTACTGACTACATGTTTTGATATTGATGATGGTCTCAAGCTTTTCTCTATTCAGCACTATCCTACCCACTAGAAGTCATTCAGAACTCTAAAACGTTCAATACTTATTTCCTTTCAGTGTACAATCACGACCCCCCAAGGAGGACTGAGTCCAGAGCCATCATCTAACGAGACCAGTGGGTTACCATTCAGTTACTACGTCAGAATTCAATGGCATATAATGCCCAGATCATGACGTCTCATAGAATATTCCCCACGCTGTTTAATGTCAACAGTTAGTTTCATATGTATTTAATTGGCTCACTTAAGAAAGCACCATGGCTCAACAATTAAGGAAATATAGACTGTATAATCAAGAGGAGTGATATGCTACTTTCCCAAATATACATGACTCATTAGAGACTTCTTTGGTCTATGGTGCTGATATCCTATATGGCTTAGACTGAGCAAAATCTTTTTTCTTCCTCATCACTCTTGCAGCTAATATAAGTTAACCATGTGACCACACCTACTACGAAACAGAAATATCCTTGTAAATTACATTAATGTGAGCCAATAAATGTCATTAAGTGTAAAGAACATGTGAAATCAAATCCTACTGAGTATTAATACTTGGTATCATGATTGTCTACAACCGCTTGTAAAGTGAGTAAAACTCCACGGACTATAGTGACTGACTTTGCTCCTTAAACCAAAGATTGACCATTACGTTTTCGGCGGTCGATTGACAGATTAAAACAGAATTCTGCACAGAAGTAAACCATTAATAATCTCTTAAGTTCAAAACAGTACACCGCAGTACTCCGCACTAAGTATACTTGAGATTTTCTAATAGGCATTTAAAGCCGGAGTCTTTCTACTTTCTTTGAAGTTAAATTTTTTTTAAATCCTGCCTCATGTAATGGAGGACATGCAAATGACTTCAGAATACTCGAAAACTATAGACTCATTGGAAAATTTCTGGGCTCCATCTCACCTATTAAGATAGAATGAAAAAACTGGCGAATCAAGTAAATTCTGGCGGATCATGTTTACAAATACAGGAGTAACACCATCGACAGCTATTGAAGGATAGGCCATACCGAGGATTCCATCAAATTTAGCCATGATGAAGGTGATCCCAGGTTGCTGGGTAGCTTCTCCAAAGGTCTGGCCACTGACTTTAGTTGAACCTACCTGATAAAATGATATGGGTAACTCAAACTCTGAAAACCCAACCTGAACAACATCGGAACTAAGGAAGCCACTTAGGCTACCAGTGCCATATCGAATACTAAATTCAGTGCCATTCGGAATATAGGTGGAGGATTTTGAGCTGTCATATTTTCTATGGAACAAACAAGCAATATCAAAATAGCTGCAGTGTTTTGACGGGACCCAAAGATTAGATGAACCAGTGTCAAATACAACACCGAATGTCTGTGGTGGAGTTCCAATGGTTATATCTCCATAATACTGAGCCTAAAAACCAAATAAACGAATAAGAACATATATTACGTCCAAATAGTTTTTCAAATATTCGGGTCCACCAGAGGTATTTCCTGATAGCCTTGATAACCAAAGCTTTTTGAGATTTTCAAAGGACGTCCCGAACTCAATTATATTGCGCTGCACGGACTTTGTTGGGTGGAGTTTAACCCTTAATTTCTATTAATTTTGTAAAGGCGGTAAATACCTGATAACTTCGGACGATACACAGCTCAGAAGCAGCAGGATGAAGAACATTTCAGCTGGAACCGCAATCCAATTACCACCTTGCACATTAGTAAGATAAAACAAACATTTGGTCATAAATTAAAACAATTGGATCTTCGAATATTCATAGTCAGTAAGGTAGTTCATGAGCTCGAACTGAAGTGTTTAATTTAAAGAATTCTGAGTTCCACTATGCAACATAATTATTGATGAGGTTGTAAACGCCTATGCAGTTCTACAGACTTGTTTCTCAGGACTAACATGTGTCCCAAGATATTTAACGGATTTCAGCACAGAATGCTTATGCAATCATCTGTTGCAGGATGTAAGTAAATAAGTAGGCAATCGAATGCACTGTGAAAGTATGCAATCAGAGTTATTTGGATCTAGCTAGTGATCTTATTCTAAAGACTTCCCTACATTAGCAATAAAAAATCGATCATAGTGGCACTAAGAGCTGCTGATAGCAATTCCAAGCAGTGCGAATTCCGTGAAGTAGAATAAGGCTTTTCTGATCAACGAAACAAGTTGATAGCTATTGCACACAATTCACAAGATAGGGAGCCTGCTTTGCACAATGCCTCGACAAGACGTGTCTTACATAACGAAAGTTACCCCTTGTTTTTCCTTTTAGAGACAGTGGCTAATGCATAATGTGAATGATACAAATAGTTTAGTGATTAATTCACATCTAATTATTGTAGTTTGAAATCTATGCTTGTAATTTAGCTGGTGTTTCAGAAATTGGTATGCAGATATCGAGATTTTAACGGCTAACTGGTTAGTTAACAATGGCTGGTCTCTTCCAATATCCAATATCCTGATTACGAGCTAGTATAAACCAATGATTTCTTTGAGCTCGCTTCTTGATTGTAAGGTAGAGGTTCCAGATCTTCGGTGAACTTATGCGTAGTAAGTCCCGTCACTCGACCGCTTTAGCTCTGGTAGACTCCAAGAGGAGTGGCGCGGGGATTGGTCAAGATTATGGTTTGTTGTATGCAGTATGTTAGGACTCAGCTGCTGCCGTGAATGGAAATTGACCTAACTCCCGTTGGTCATTTGGTGTAGTCATAAAAGCAGAATAGTAATAATAATATGTTGTAGTGTAGATAATATAGGTTGAGGTAAGTGAAATAATAAGGTGACTTAAGGAAAAGATAGAGTAAATGGTTCAGTGAGAGGAGACAGGACGGGTCGTGGGGATTTAGTTTGTATGCTTATCCATTGACAGTGTGGTTCTAAATCTTAAGAAGATAAGCCATTGAGACACAAACCATGCATTTCTGCATGATAGTCCAGCTTCCGCTTAAAAGTCTCCACAGATGGCGCTGTAGTTACGGCCGCCGGTAAAGCGTTCCAGAGACGGCAAACTCGAAGCGAGAAGAAATATGAACGCACTCGAGTCCTTGGTCTCTGGTGTGCTATCCTTAGCGGGTTACCTCGTGGAAGCCTATAACCACTTGATGTCAGGATGCTTTTATTAGGGTGGGCCTGGTCATTTAAGATCTTGTAGACGGTGATGAGGTCTCCCCTGTGACTACGGTAACTAAGTGTGAAAAGACTTAATTTCTTCAGTCTTTCGCAATATGATTTGCTGCGGAGGCCGATCACCCATTTTGTCGCTCGTCTCTGGACACTTTCTAGAGTTTCAAGTGTTGGTTTGTAGGGATTTTCATCATGAGCTGACATTAGTTAGAGATCTATTGGAAAACCTGGGAGTGCTGGACAGCTGTTTCGTCCCAGTTTCAGGACTCTTCATCAGTACGCACCCACCGGGATTCGAGCCCAGGACCTGGTTACAGGGCGAGCTTGTATACCATTAAGCCACTGGGACCCGATCCAGTGGCCCATGAATTCTAACTTCTGCTAATTCACGACATAGCGCGACTGCTGTAGGTGCGTACCGCTGAAGAGTCCCAAAACTAGGACGAAACAGCTGTCCAGAACTTCCAGGTTTTCCAATGGTTCCTTAACTAATGTCAGCTCATGATGAAAATCCTGTAACTTTCTAGAATGTTAGCATCCCTTTTGAGTAGTGGAGGAGCAGTGATATTATGCACCTCAAGGTGTGGCCTCACGTATGTCCTAAATAACCTAGAGAATAGTTCGAGAGTAAGATCTCCCAGCTGACTATGCATAAAGTGTAAAGTTGCGAAGGCTTTGGTAACGTCCCTCGTGTAATTTCCACTGGTGTCTAGGTTTTCTGTTAAAATAAGACCTAGGTCACGTTCTGATGGCACACAACTCAAGTTCTGGCCACCAAGGGTGTAAATTTACTCTCTGTGACCTGCCGGAATGAAATTTCACTACTTTGCGTTTCTTTAGTTTGAGGGGTCTTCCGTTAGCCAGAGCCCAGTCTCCCAGAGTTTGCAGGTCAGCATGCAATCTGCCTGAGTATTCCGATGAGTTTATTGCTCTCCAGATCTTTACGTCGTCAGCGTAAAGAAGCGCAGAGCAGTTCAGTTGACAGGGCAGGTCGTTGATAAAAATCAAAAACATCAACGGCCCTAAGATAGAACCCTGAGGAACCCCTGATGCCGAGGTGTGCCAGGATGATCGGATGCGGTTGACTTTGGTGCGGAATTCTCTCGCCTAAATAATCTTTCAGCCATGCGAGAAGTGCTCAAGAAACACCCACTTTGCTTATTTTGTGAAGAAGCAGACCATGGTGAACTGTGTCGAATGCTTTCGCAAAGTCGAGAAAAATCACATGGACTGGTACCTTTACGTCCCAGGACAGTGTCCGATCGTTCCAAGCTAGTAGAAGATTCGTCACACAGGATCTTCCCCTCCTGAAACCGTGCTGTGCTTCATGGAGTAGGTTAGTCCCGTCGAAGTATTTTCTAATGTGATCGTCAACGAGACTTTCCAATATCTTCGATATCACTGGGAGTAGCGCAACTGGTCTGTAACTGGTCGCATTCTGCCGGTCACCACCCTTGAGGATAGGGGATAGGATGGCTCGTTTCCATTCACATGGAAGTTTCCTTGCATCAAAGGAGTGTTGAAACAGATGGCTTAGGAGTTGGCAGAGACTTTCTGAACACTGCTTCAGGACGGATGGTCTTATGTCATCGCAACCTGCAGACTTTCCCGAAGCCAACTTTCCCAATTTTACGAGTACCATAGCCGGGGTAATTTGAAATGTACCCAGCATGTTTTCGCACATTGGTTTTGCATTGTGATCTTGGTGTTTTGTGAGGGTAAATTCCTCGTTACTGTTAAGTTGCCTGTGAAAAGCTAGACTGAATGTCTCTGCCATTTCAAGACTAGTAAGAGATTTACCGTCAGAACCCACTAGATTGCATGCTCCCTGGTTGGTCGGTTTTCTTTAAGACATTAACCTGTATGGGCTTTTGGGGTTCACGAGAAGCTTATTGGCGAGGTTTCTCTGAAATGTCCTTCTATCACTCTGGACTCGTATGTTACATCGATTCCTGAGTTCAAGGTACATTTCATGTCCGGTTTGACTCGTCGATACTCGCCACGCAAACCAGGCTTTTCGCTTCACCTGCAGAAGGCGTTGTGTCCCTTTTTTAGGCGTGAACGTTGCTTCCTAGCTTTTGGTGTGACTGAAGGAGCAGTATCTGAGACCGCCTGGTGAATGATCTCCTTTACCACTCCCCAGTGTTCTTCTACCGTAAGCTCTGTCCAATTTTTTGGCCAATTTGCTTCGGACAAAAGTCTTCGCATTTCGGTGTAATTGGCTTTGTTCTAACACAGGTAGGGCTGTGTATTATCCCGCTTTAAACGCTCGCGGAGGACTATGTCGAATACTATTGTAACAACAGAAGACAAGGGTCAGGCAACAGATCCTTTATTAAGGAAAATCAACACATATTTATAGGTTTTAATGTACATTATTGTAGATCACTTTTAGTAGAAAATACAGTCTTTTGATTGGTTTTTTCTTACAGAAAGTTAACCTTGCATCTCTTTGTGGCTGTGTCAGATTATCCATATGCTAACTGTATCCACCTGCGCTATGCCTTTGTTCTCATTTTCTCACCACCAATTAGGGGACATAAACATTGACGTCAGTTGCTGTCTACCAACTTTGGCTTGCAGCCAGCTCTCATCACACAATGACCGCGTGGTCACTACTACCTATGCGAGTCGTGATCTGAACGTTTTCCACTAGTGGCTGGTCACTAGTGAGCGCATAATCCAGTTTAGAAGACTTCCTATCTGGTCCCCATCTAGTATCCATCCTGACATTTTCAATAAATCCAGCCTTCCTGATGGTGTGCAGCAGATTTCGTGGGCGTATCCCGACATCAAGTTAAAAGACGGGGCACTGAAGTCGCCAGCTATGACAATTTGATCATAACCCACGTCTTGTGTCGCTGAAATTGTATGTAGCAGTCCCTGGTTGTGGTCTGCTCCACATGAAGATCATCGATAAATGCTGCCCACTAGATATTTGCGGTACCCAAAGGTGAATTGGCACCATAAGTAGTCAGGGTGCTCAGTGAGGGGAGGGTTCATTGCGTGATCACATCTGAGCTGTTTGTCGACGTATATAGCAACTACACCTCCTTCTTTCAGGTCCCCTTCTCGCCTGACTAGGACCATATCATTTATACTGACTTCGCTGTCTGCCACCGTAGGGTTTAGCCAGGTTTCCGTCATTATTATGATTTTGGAGTTCAGCTGTGATTGTAGGTGTCTAAGTTCAGCTATTTCGCCTCTTAGCCCCCTCACATTACTGTACAGGCAACTGGTAGTCAGTCTCACCACGTCCCCGTATTGAGGGGGGGTGGTTGACTTGATGTGGGCTGTTGGTTGAGGAGTTATCCTACGAACCAGTTGGCCGATTCCCCAGGAATCGACCAGTTGGCATTTTTTCTTCTAGTTCAATCGGAGCACTTGGATGACACTGGCTATCATCGTACGTGCTGCACCGCAGTGGTGTGAATAAGGGTTGAGGATTTTCTTTGACAACGCTTTGTTCTCCTTTGGGTATTAGGCCGGCTCTCGCAGCAGTGAATGTGTCTACTGACCTTGTCCTTGGTCTCGTACCATCTTTGGAGAGCAGTAGTCAAGTGGTCTCGGGAGCTGAACTCGACAGCTAACAGACGTGGCGCGTTAATTGACATA